ATATATATATATATATATATATATATATATATATATATATATCTTTATTGATTTCAGAGAGAGGAAGGGAGGGGGAGACAGAGCGATAGGAATATCAATGATGAGAGAGTCATTGATCGGCTCCCTGCTGCACACCCTTAACTAGGGATAGAGCCCACAACCCAGGCATGTGCCCTGACCAGGAATCGAACCGTCATCTCCTGGATCCTAGGTCGATGCTCAACCCCTGAGCCACGCCCAGCCAAGCATTTTCCCATTTTATAATTGGATTTTTTGTCTTCCTCTTGTTGAGTTGTATATGAGTTCTTTATACACTTTGGAAATTAGCCCTTTATCAGATACATCCTTTGCAAGTATGTTCTCCCATACCGTGGGGTTCCTTTGTATTTTGAGGCTGATTTCTTTTGCTGTGCAGAAGCTTTTTAGTTTGATGTAGTCCCATTTGTTTATTTTTTCCTTTGTTTCTCTTGCCCTAGGAGATGTATCAGTGAAAATTCCACTACGGGAGATGTCTGTGATTTTACTGCCTATGTTTTCTTCCAGGATTTTTATGGTTTCATGACTTACTTTTAAGTCTTTTATCCATTTTAAATTTATTCTTGTGTATGGAGTAAGTTGATGATCTAGTTTCATTTTTTTATATGTACCTGTGCAATTTTCCCAAAACCATTTATTGAACAAACTGTCTTTACTCCATTGTATGCTCTTGCCTCCTTCGTCAAATATTAACTGACCATAATTGTGTGGGTCAATTTCTGGGGTCTCTGTTCTGTTCCATTAATCTATATGTCTGTTGTTGTACCAATACCAGGCAGTTTTGATTACAGTGGCTTTGGAGTATAATTTGATATCTGGTAAAGTGATCCCCCCAACTCTGTCCTTTCTCAAGATGGTTGTGACTATTCAGGGTCTTTTTTGGTTCCATATAAGTTTTTGAAATATTTGTTCTAGCTCTGTGAAATATGCTGGTGGTATTTTAATAGGAATTGCAATGAATCTATAAATTGCTTGGGGAGTATGGACAGTTTAATGATATTAATTCTTCCAATCCATGAGCATGGTATATTCTTCCACTTGTTTATATCTTCCTCTATTTCTTTTTCAGTGTTCTGTAGTTTTCCAAGCACAGGTCTTTTACATCCTTTTAATTTATGTGGTTTTCTATTTCTGCTTGGTAACTGAGGCATTTTTGCATGCTTTTTTTTTTTTTTTTTTTTAAAGAAAAACTTTTTGCTATCAGTTTCTGCACCACCAGAAAAGTACTCAAATAAGGAATACCAGTATCATGAAATACTGAAAGAGGGATTTCATANATGTTCTTGAGAAGGCAAAATCATTCAGTTTAATAGTGACTCAGTGACAAGCAGACCCACAACTCTATAATCCTATCAATCCTATCAATATAGCTGATAATAATAATGCCATAGTACTTACCTTAAAATGCTTTAAAGTAAGCGCAATATAACGGAAAATTTTTAAGCTGTGATTTTAACTTTAAAATAATAGGTAATAAGGCCCTGGCCTGTGTGGCTCACTTGGTTGGGTGTCATCCTGTGCACCTGGGGGTCGCCAATTTGAATCTCGGTGTGGGCACATGTCCAGGTTGCAGGCTCCATCTCCAGTAGGGGGCATGAGGAGGCAGCCAATCAATGTTCCCCTATCATATTGATATTTCTTTCTCTCTCCCTCTCCCTTTCTCTCTCTCTCTCCAAAAAGCAATAAAAATATTTATAGACATATCCAAAAAAATCCAAAATATATAAATAGTGTATAGTTCTTCCAGTCTGTTTCTGTCTCCCTACTGCTGGGTTATGCTCCCCAGATGCAACCATTGGTCTCATTTTCCTGTGTACCTCCCACAGGTGACCTGTGCATTGCATTTATTTCTAATGTTTGTTATTTTATTTATTTATTTTAGATGACTCCAGAATTGATGATAAAAGCATATACTTTTTACACTGGACATTTAGTGAAGACTCACTTTTGGTAAGAATGTGATTTTTATACACTCTTTTTTCTCTTTGTACTCTTCTTCTTCTTTTTAAAAATTTTTATTAATTCTCACTGGAAGATATTTTTTCCATTGCTTTTCAGAGAGAGTGGAAAGGAGAGAGAGAGAGAGACAGAGAAAAATATTGATGTGAGAGAGACTCATCTTATCATTGATGTTTCTCTCTCTCCCTCTCTCTTCCTCTCTCTAAAATTGATTGGTTGCCTCCCACATTAACTGAAACAACCAAGGCAAGTGCCCTGGGCCAGAATCAAACCCGGGACCCTTCAGTCCTCAGGCTGTTGCTCTAAGCACTGAGCAAAACTGGCTAGGGCTGCGCTCTTATTCTTGATAGTCTCCATATGAAGAAAAACTCACTTTTGGCCAGTTGTGCTAATTTTGTCTATGTAATCGTCTTTCTGCCATTTTTATTATGTATTTCTTTTATACTTAATTGGTTTATACTTACTTAAAATATGTTCTTTATTTCTTCAGGGTATCACTTTGTCTTTTTAAAAAAATAAAACTCCTGCCTGGCTGGTGTGACTCAATGGTTGAACATTGACCTATGACCCAGGAGATTGCAATTTGATTCCTGGTCAGGGCACATATCCGGGCTGCGAGCTCAATCCCAGCAGGAGGTGTGCAGGAGGCAGCGGATCAATGACTCTCTCTTATTGTTGATGTTTCTCTCTCTCCTTCTCTCTAAAATAAATAAAAACATTAAAAAGTAAATAAAACTCTAAAATTGAAAATATAAGTCCATAATTCCCTTATATGAAACCCTTGGAGCCATACATGTTTTGGAATTTTGGTTCCTTAAAAAAATTTTTTTAGAAAGGTGATCTCCGCACATACTATGTTTGTTATATAACATCTTTACTGGTGTCTGGGTGGCACATTGTAATGACATATATTTGAATGTATTAGTATTTCTACAGTGTGAAAAATATATATTTTTACTCTGAGTGAAATGAAGAAAGACTATGAACAGCCATGTGCCAGATGCAGAAATTGTGATGCAAAATTACCCTAGGCCAGGTCTAGTTTTGCCTCTACATAGGTTATGAAAAAACACTTTTGTATTTAAGAGTTTTCTGGGCTTCAGAAATGTGGAAAAGGGAAGTGCAAGTTCAAAGGGAATGCAGGGACTGCCTAGAAATTAAGCAATAAAAGTAATTTAATGATTTCTTTCTATGCTGTGGTTTTTGAGGAAGTAAAAGAGGTATTACTTTTTCTCCCTCTCGATTTATTTAGTGTTATTGCCATAACATTAAAATATTATTTTTTCTATTTTCTGCCTATAGTAGTTGGAAAGACATAGCAATACCTCGCACAAGTGAAGATGACATTCTGGCTAAAAAAATGGAAAAAGCAACAAAATATGACAATTTCAGACTTCAAAAATACATATTTTGTCACTGGCACTCTTATGTGAAAGATCAAAAAGAACAACTTAAAGGTAAATCCTTACATAGTAGCAATTATTTTCTGTATTCTTGTATTCAAAGAATAAAAACACTTAACAGTTAAGCATAGTTTATACTAAAGAATTTATTACTAGTGCTATTTTAAAATATATATATTTTATTTTTTCCATCACCATTTATTCCTCCTATACTTTCCTATACCTCCACCCACACCCCATAATCACCACACGGTTGTCCGTGTCCATGAGTTCTTTCTCTTCTCAATCCCTCCACCCTGCAGCAACCTCCCCCCCC